ATGACTAAATATTTGGTAAATACTTTGTGTGTGTATCTTTGTCTCTGTGTGTGTGTGTAGACAGTTCTTTCCCCCTTGTTTACCAGTCCTGCCCAGCTAGATAATTATACTGCAATACGATGCCCAACCTGCACATCTGAGACATATAAAGTGACAAGTGGAAACCATTAAATAACAAAAAAAAAGTGTAAGGATTTTCAAGTAGTTAAATAATTTAGGGTAAGTTGGAAAGCCTGTTTAGGAAGACAAGATATTTTGTCGGTTTCTAGTAAAAGAATGAAAATCATGAAAACAATAACCGGTCCCTTGTCAGCTCATTAGTGGAGTATTATCAGCGGTTTATAATGAGGAAATTAGAATCACTGTCATGCAGGTCAATGTGATCTTTCAAAGAGTTGTGAACAGTGAGAAAACACATTTTTTTAGCTTTCTAACATAACGTTGTATACATTATAAACATTTTACAAGTTTCAGTCAGGATATCTTTAAACATAAGGTGAGTTTTAGTTTGGAAGTATTTCAAAATTCAAAGCATTATACAGTACATACCACTATGAGAAAGTCACATTAATGCTAATTATTCTTTGCAAAAAAGATAGTCTGGAGATAATATATACTATTTCTATCCTTTACATTTTACTTTCATTTTCAGAAAGCTAATTGAAATGCATTAACCTGACGTGTGAAATTACTGCCATCCTCACTTTAATTGTTGCAATATTTGTTATGACAGCATCTGAAAAAGTGAAAATCCACAGTAAATAAAAGCAACAATTAGGAGTAGCCTACTGTACACATAAAGAGGATTCTATTTCAAGGCTGGACCAACGCTGGACATTTGATGCAATTGGTAACTGCTGTTAGAAAATGTTGTAAATTCCAGAAAAAAAACTCATGACGCTGATAAGCATTGTGTGATCACGAGGCTCTGGTTGGAGTGAGTTGATATGCTCTGCATTCCTAAATAAAAGAAACACACACCCCAATAAAAACACACAAACTGAAAACCATCTTCTCTTTTCTCTGGAATGTGTGATCCAAAAAGGTGTTTTGCAATATCAACAACTCCTAAGAAAGATTCTGACAACCTGTCGTTTTCACTGAACAAATACCCTCTTTGCATTTATCTTTTAGCAACAATCAAATTATAAATACGCTTCTGGACTTTCAATTCTTGCTTGTAGATTATATAAATGTGAGGTAAAGCTGAGAATTACCTCCTAATTTTAAATTCATAGACAAAAGAACAAAAGGAAAGAACAAGAGAGCTTATTGCTTTCATTGACATTCTGCTTTGCACGCAGGCACACACACACACACACACACACACACACACACACACACACACACACACACACACACACACACACACACACACACACACACACACACACACACACACACACACGAAATATTAACACCTACGTGAAAAGACAAGTGGGGTGTTGGAGAGTATTTCTGTGTGGTGAGCGTGTGTGTGTGTATTTTGAGGTGGGAATATCTTAAACTCACCTGTTCTATCTATCTGCTGGGGGGGAGGATGAGCTTGTCAGATAGCCGGATAGGGAAGACAGCTGTTACACACAAACTCTCACACACAAACCCCCCCCCCCCCC